GGTGGCCGCCAGCGACACGACCACCGGTTCCCTCGTTCAGCGGGCCGAGAGCCCGCTTTGATGGCGCCGCGTTACACCTTCCCCCAGAGCGGTCGGGGGAACGCGGTCTGCCATCACCCGGCTTCCTATTGCGGGTGAGCGTGCAAGCACGCCACCCCACGTCTGGGTCTCTCCCCGCACAAAACGGGTGGGACCCCTAGCTCTTAGGGGGCCAGGTCACGGATACGACCCCGGTCCCGACCCCCTGCTCGGCGGCGGCGGGTTTCTGCGTAGTGAGGAGAGCTTTCCCTCACTCGCCCCGCCGCCTCCTTCTGCGAGATGGTGCACTCGCAGAAGTCGAGCATAGCCTTCCATGACTCATCGCTGCCAAGCATCGACGCCACGACGCCAGGCAGCGACAAGTCAGGTCCTATCTTTGCGACCAGGACACGGCGCTGCACCTCCCAAGCGGGGCAGACAGCGAGCGTATGCTCCGCCGTGTCCAGGTCGTGTCCATAATGGTGACACCTCGTCGTCGGCTCAGCCCCTATCCGGCGCAGGTACTTCCCGAAGCATCCGTGCCCGGTCAGCACCTGCACCAGACGAAAGGTGAGACGTCCTTCGCCACGATTCACCCAGTCATCAAAGACCGGGTAAACCGCCTCGACGGTCCGTAACCCCCACGTGGGGTTGGCCAATCGCCTCGACCAAATTTTAGCCACTTAAGTCATCACAGCTCATCATTTGGCATAAAAACGCGTAGTCGACATTTTCGATTCGGGACGTATCTACCTAGTAGCTACACATTTTAAAATCTTATCGTGTAAAAATAAATATTTAGAGAAGCATGTCTTCTGCAATACGAATTACTCATCGGTGTACGTGAGAATTTGCAATAATTTTTGTAAAGTACGGTTCTATTCCAGAAACTGTAGTGGTTTGCTTTTTTTAGTAAGGAAAGATTACTGATGGCTCGCAGACGCATTTAAATGAAAATACAAACATTTAATTCAGACCATTATAAGTCCATATGTTTTAGTAGAGTAATACTTATAACTTAAACTTTTACTGTTTCATCGCGCTTTTATTGTTTACATTTTACGGCGACGGTTTCAAATATTTTACAGCATTCTTGGACGCGAACGACTAAAGATTTGATAACTAACGCCATTAAAAACTATAAAATTAATTACGTAATTAATTCTTTCGAAAAATGTTTCACGAATGTATTTTTTTATTATTTTTTTTTTATTTTTCGATAAACTATTACTCATTAGACTTTTTCTTTTTTTTTTTCCTACCTAAGCTGATAGCCTTGAGAGGCTATATCAGCGTAACCTAACTAGTAGGTGAGCTCAAGGGGCTCAAACCGGAGTGTTGCTAACACTTACCCTAGCGAGAGCAGTGCTTCGCAGAATCTACCACCGGATCGGAAACACGACCCACTGAGAAGATCGGCTAGAAACTCAGTTGGCTGTGTCTATATGGGTTAATTCGCTCGTCGAGCCCTTCGTCGTAAGCGACGGGTTCGACGAGGACGGTGACCGGTGCTTGTGGTGCCTAAAAGCACCGCTAATGGATCAGGAGGATCCGTAATGACGTGCTTTGAGCGACCTCGACGGTTTACTATTCCGTCTACAGGATCAGGTATGTAGTTTCCAGTGGCCACGACAAGAGGGTTAACTCCCTATGTTTTAGACTTTGAGGTCTTTTAAAAAAATTATTTATTCTTAGTATCTGCGGATTCGTCATTTCCAGAGTCTACTAGACATTCCATTAGTATGTAAATCGAAGAGAAAAATCGTCATAATTACTTCAGTGCGCCGCGTAGGACACCGGTGACCTACACTGCAGTCAACGTGTTAAACAAAATTTGGCTGGTAGTGTAATGTTTAATAAACACTTTAAGTTAGTTTCTCGATGAGCACGGATGTGCCTTGACGGCCAAGGTTGAACAGCGCGCGGGTCAAGTAAAGGTTACACGGGACAAACTATTGTGTGTGTAACGATGGTTTTTTTTTTTCTTCATTTCAGCATCATTAAAGAAGCGAAGGATTAATTATTTCGGAATCCCGCCGTTGATGCGATGAGTCGCTTAATGATACGTTTTTTCCACTTTTCATTGTTGAACTAAAGTTGTTTTTTACACGCTTTATATTAGCTTCACTTCTATGTATGTTTGTATGTTTGTAACGGACTCCTTTAGACGCGATTTTCACTCACTTCAAGCGGCCAGATTTCACTCAAACTTTGTAGATTTATCGAGGACCGATGACAATACACTAATTTGATAAGATTATTCCATCATTCAATTTGCAAAATAAGATTTTTGCCGATTTATATAATTTTTATCTATAGTCGATAAGGCAGGAATTGATGTTAAAGTACTACTTAATAGTTTTAAAAATATGCTTTCATAGAAAATTTAACCAAAAAATGAAAAACAAATAATAGTTTTTTAAAAAAACTAAAGAACACGCTTTATGTAAAATTCAACTAAAAAATTGAAAATAAATTTTAATAACACTAAGTATTTACATTTACACTTTAACACTATTTTCAATTTAAATTTATTAAAATTTATTTTATATAAAGCGTGTTTTTTAGTTTTTTTAAACAATTTTTTTTTATTTGCTACAGGCGAGCGTGCGTTAACACTGTCAGTACATTGTATAAGAAAAGCTGCAAATACGAATACTTTTCGCTTCAGTGTTCAGAGTACAATGCTACAGTGTTATTTTTTTATTTCATTTTTTTATTGCATAGATAGGTGGACGAGCTCACAACCCATCTAGTGTTAGGTGGTTACCGGAGTCCATCGACATATATAACGTAAATGCCACTCACCTTGAGATATGAGTTCTAAGGTCTCAGTATAGTTACAACGGCTGCCCCACCCTTCAAACCGAAACGCATTATTGCTTCACGGCAAAAATAGGAAGGGTGGTGGTACCCACTCGTGTGGACTCACAAGAAGTCCCTACCACCAGTAAATATGCAAATTATAATTTTGCGATTTGATTTTTATTTCACGATGTTATTCCTTCACCGTGGAAGTCAATAGTGAACATATGTTAAGTACGTATTTCATTAGAAAAATTGGTACCCGCCTGCGGGATTCGAACACCTCGTGCATCGCTCAACACGAATGCATCGGACTTCTTATCCTTTAGGCCACGACGACTCAATTTCGACTTCTAAGTGTACAATGTTCATTCATAACAATAAACAAAGAGAATAATTAATAATAGCAGACCAATTTTAAAGCAGCAATATTACATGACTTAGTCCTTAACATAACGAGTTTAGTTACAAGACAGAAATGCGAAAGAATAAATAATAATTTAAAAAAACTAACAAAATACGCTTTTATAGAAAATCGAACGAAAATAAAAAATAAATTTTAATAAATTTGAATGAAAAATAGTGTAAGAAAAAATTATTGTAAAAAAGCGTGGGGTTCATTTTTTCTTACACTATTTTTTATCCAAATTTATTTTCTTCTAAAATTTAGTTTCTATTTTTTAGTTGGATTTTCTATAAGAGCGTATTTTGTTAGTTTCTTATAACTATTATAAATTATTTTAAATTTTTTAGTTGACTTAAAAAAAATTTAATATTGAATTGTCATCGGTCCTTAATAAGTATACCAAATTTCGAGTTAATCCGACGTTTTGAAGGGAACAAAATCATGTTCAAAGGTTCCGTTACATACAGACGTCTGAAGCTAATAAAACCGTATTAAAAATCGCTATGCAGTGAAGGATATTTTTAATTATATAAATGTAGGAATATATTTTTTTTAAAATAACTATCACGATTAAAATTCAACTATGTGTTTATAGCAGGAAGGTTTGATTTGTTGACACGTTATAATTTTTACAGTCAAATATTAAGAGTTATTTTGGTGATACATATTATATAACACAAACAACAAGGAAGCATAGAAAAATACGCAAACTGGGGGCAGAGGTCAATCAAAAATCGACCTTAATGATACAATGTGGATTAAGAAAAAGTGTAATACGAAAAAGGGCTTTAAATCTAGTTGAAATTGCGATTAAAATCGTGTGTACAACACGCGATTGACCGCAACACACGAATCTTGAACTTGACTGTGTAAACACGAGATACGGGCCTAGTTATAAAATTTACGTTCGATAATTTCGATCGAAAACCGGAGCAACAGGCTCGTTCGAGTTCAACAAAAATGCTTATTATTTTGTTCGAAATAAATTCGTATTTCAAAATTTCGCCTCTCAAGTTACGACCTTTTACTTTCGAGCGCGTGCGTTTGTAAATGGAATATGTTGTAATAATGTTCACGAATGTGCTTCGAGTTCTTATAAGACTTCGAAATAGTTTCCGATTGCGATTTTTGTTTATGAAAATAACATTGTAACAAGCATTTTTACGAGTAAACATAATATAACAAATACAGCTATTTCGACTTATGTATGCCTTATCGCATATGGGGTCCCAGATTAATATTGCCCTGTCGGGTTTTTTTTTCCTACCTAAGGTGATGGTCTAGACTCTAGAGAGACCATATCAGCGTAACCTTAACTAGTAGGTGAGCTCACGGGGCTCAAACCTGACGATGTTGCTAACACGAACCCTAGCAAGAGACGTGCTTCGCAGAATCTACCACCGGATCCGAAACGCGACCCACTGAGAAGATCCGGCGAGAAGCTCAGTGGACTACCCTGTCGGTAATTTTGTAAGAAATATATATATCTCTCTTATAGGAATAAAATACGGGTCGTTCAGCGTTACGTTACAAATAGCGCTATCCTTTTCTCACGCAACTTCAACTGTGAGAATCATCTCGAAGATTAATCGCTTCGAACGCGGAACAAACTCGCATCGTGATTTTTATAATGATCATAACGTACATGATCCTTGAACTGACGAATTAAGCAGCGTCACGTCAAATTCCGACACTTCCGAAGTGCCAAGGACGATTTAATGATTGATTCAATTTGAACGTGTTCGAAAAAAAAACATTGAAACACTCCTACCTTTTCCTCTTGAATGTTCTGCCCTCCGTTCTCTGATAGGGGAGTCGAAGGCGCGCTGTAACCCTTGGGGCCGTCGTCTTGTGACGTCAGCTGTCTGTGGGAGTCGTTCTCTTGTTCGTTGTGCGACCTCATATCCTGCAAGCCGCTCTTAAATTCGCTCAACCTCAAAACCGAAGGCTTAATCTCCGGCATCTCATCAGGATGTTCGTACCGTCTCAAGTCCGCTAGATTCGTTGCTAGATGCCTGTGATGGTCTAAAGGCGTTGGCACTATTGATCTTAGGTGCTCTATGCTTCTATGTATATGGGAATAATTGTCTACTGGTATTTCGGCCATCAACGGGGAATTGTGGTAGTCAAGGCCACCACCGTCAGGCCTGTAATCGATGGTCCTTCCTTCCATCATCTTGTCTAATTTATTTCTATCTAAATTTGTATATAAAATTTGGCACTATCTTTACAAAAATATGTCTTATTCGATTTTGTGTTTGCTTTACGTCATGGAATTGTTTCGAGATCTTCCGTTTTCATTGGGCTGAAACAATTTTAGAGCGTTTTACAAACACATCGCCTCGGATTTTTTCATCCGAAATGCTGTTTTAAAATAAGGACGCTTGCAATGTCCAACGAAAATTTCAATTCAACATTCTTATAAGCCGTAATGATGTTCGAAAATCGAATTTGAATGGAACGTATCTATTTTTGAACTAGATTTATCGTGTTGAAAAAAAAAAACATGGCGGTTTTTATCTTGGCGGGCAGGTGACGAGTCGTCGCGTAGGTTGTGTCAACGATCTAGCCCACATGCCGGATCGAATAAGGCTTCGATAATCGCAACGGTAAGTACCTAACAATCGTGCTAACATTTACGAACATTATACACATTAAATCTTATTTTAAATCAGCTGCAATTTTTTTATAATTTATAGATATAATTCTGCATCATTTAGATATAATTTTGCTTTTCATTTGTTTTTAAATTAGAACTACAATTTTTAGGTTATCAATTTTAAGAACCAATCGCAGAACAAGCCAGTACTATTGTTAAGGATCACCATCATTTTTCCTTCGGTCATATTCAACAAATACTTTTGAATTTTATTCACCTGTGCTAAGACCGATGAATGTCAAAGACGTAATTACATGTACCTATGTATACAGAATCAGCCAAATTGTATTTGCGGGTACAGGTTATATGTGCATAACGATTTTGCACTTTATCTCGGGGCAATAAGTAGTACGTTTTAATTATATCACCGTAGTATTGTTACAATGTTGAGGGCCCCTTTGTTGATTGACTACGATCCGTAATGATTACTAGTTCGTTCCGACTTAGTATTTTAAAGATAATTAAATATATTTTTATTTATAGGGTTCGACAAGTCGTTTTTTTTTTTAAATATAAATTATCGTAAATTGTTTTCAACACATCATTTTTATTACTTAATTCAAATTGAGAATTTACAGAGATTAATTGATGAATTAATTATACTCTTCAAAGTTAAATCTGAATTTTAAGTGTACTAAAGTTTCCTACAGCGTGGTGAGTGAACCGTAGTCTACAAGGTCACGAATTCTACTTATCTCACAAGTACTCAACGTACGTATTTAAAATTTTATTATAAACAAGAAACTCATTCCATTTCCTTATTTATTTTCGATGTACAATATTTGAAAATTATGTTTTTAAATTTTCATTTTTTTTTTCTTTTCGTTTCTAATAATTTAAAAAAAATCACCTCAACGTTTAAGCGTTGTTAAATGTAAGCGGGTAGTTATAATTTTAGCTTAAGCAGCCGGTGACAGGTGTAGTTGGGAGTTTAATTATGCAAAAAATACTTGTATAGCATCCTCCTTGGTAACATAACAAAACCAGTCTTTGCGATGCAATTTGAAATTTTAAATAATAAAAAAATTTATTACTACTCTGACAGCATTTCGGACGAAAATAATATGTATATAAAAATTGTCATTTATTTACTAAATATGAAAGCGAGCGAGTTGTGTTTTGTTTAAACAAAAAAAAAAAACATTGTTTGACGACAAAGGCACAGTAAAACAACTCGTAAAGTTAATTCGAACGTAACATTACGTGCATAGTCCGAAAATATTTCCGTATTTATAGTCCGTGCGTTGTTCAAGGTCACGTTTGACAGTCGGTGGCTTGGGCGCTCGCAATTACAACATCCACCTCAACGGGAGGGCTGTTACGTAAAAGTCCTCTCCCCTGAGGGAGGGCCACCCCTCTCACCCATAAAACAGAGCAAGCTCGCTTTCATTTATTAAAAAAAATGTAAAATAAAATCTGACGTACCTGTCACTATCCGAAAACCTTCACAATCACCAACTTATATTATCACAGTTTGTTCCTATTATAATGTCACTAAAATATATATCACATAATAAGGTAACACTAACGTCACAACACGTCCGAAAGGCAACAGTCCAGGGCTTTAAACCCAAAATTACTCAAAAAATCCACGTGCTCCTCGAAAATAAACATTTAAAAAAAATCTCGGCCCAAGAAAAAAGGCGAGTCGTGCTCTTGACCCTGCGGTAAAATTATGAATGCCAAACGTCGTTACTAGGATCCAAATTACCAGATTTTTTGTGCTCAATATTTTAGTGTGCTATATAAAATTATAGTTGTGGATAATCTACACGTGATGGAGCGTTTTGTCCCTCTCGCACCAGGGGATTCGCGTGTGCACTGGCTGCAGTAGCGTTAGCGAGGAGTCCTCAAGACGACATGTGGTCGCTACGAGCCGGCCTCTCCAGACGCTCACTCGTTCGTGTAGGAGAAGTGTGCGCTACGAGCAACTAGCGCCCGATCTCATCACAAAAATGCAATACAAAACGCCCGCTCGCCCGCCTTTAGACCGACGCGGCAAAAACAAGACTGAAATTCAGATCTATAGTAGAAAAAGCGAACTACACCGCGCGAGGGGTACACTAACACATAAAAACGAAAAAAATCACACGGACGCAAACATTAACAGCGGAGCTTAAAAAACGGAGAGGGGGAACAGTTTGCATCGCACTGTCTGCTAGTGGCCTCTCGCTCCGACGGCGTGAGGCCGCACGCACACAGCCGAGCGGTGGCTAAGCGAAAAAAATGTGTACACATTTTTTTATTATTCACGATTTTTATGTGTGTAAGTGGGCTGGGTGCGAGGGGGATGGTAGAGGTCGGGACGCATACCGGGCTGTAGGGGAAGCGAGACGGCGCGCTTCGCCACGTGCTTGTCCCTCGGCATTAAATAATAATTAAAATGGCTACAAGACCGCCGATACGAGATACTGTTCGGTAGACGATTTTTTGGCCGAGCTTTTGCCTTTTTTGCTGAGCTTTTTGCGGAATCGACGAAAACGAGGTAAGGCGCGATATCGGAGTATCTCGCCGAAAAAATTATCGCGGCCCGATTGACACATAATGAACGAAATACGCGCAGAAAAAGTCGCGCCGGGGAAAAAATCCAAGGACGCCGAGCGCGAAAAGAAGTTATTGATTAAAACGGGGCTGTCATTGACCAGACGTAAATGAGGGTGTTTAATTGTATGCAGCCCTGGTTCCGGCAGGAATCGATCAGCGCGCCTTGCCTACATTGATGACTTAAAGAGCGCGTTGCTTTATCTGAGCCGTAACTTAGTAATAGCTTTAGAGTTAAAAGGTCCTAACTAGCAGTGTCCAACGTTAACGAAGGGTCCGCAAATGACAATGGAGTTGGCGATTATAATAATATGCATACAGAATGACGGCACAATGCGGGGTTTAAGAGCAGATGCTGCGTTGCAACCCAATGGTCAAGTTTTCAAGGGGTGGTATTTCAATAAGTAGATTCTTTAATTGGCGACAAATGTTAAAATTGTTTTTTTTATATATAGAATAGAACAAAACATATTGAAGCTGTGAAAAATAACAATTTTTTTAATGAAAATTTTATGTTTCGATATTTTATCTGTGGCAAAAGAGTAATAATTTAGGTGGCTAACAAAATATCCCGCCAAAATATTTGACCTTTCGTTGACTATTCTAACTCAGTTATTAATTTTTTATGCGAGTTCTCAAGACTAGTAGTGACCACGGTAACTAAATCAATATTATATTCTTAACGGCCCAGTTCGGCTAATATTTGTATTAAAATGACAAACTAAGGAGTCTTTGTTTATTATAACTTGTCGTACCAACATATTTGTATCTGATAATTCATCTCTAAAGTTAAAACAATAAAAAACCCTAAGATTAAATTGCCGATAGATACAAAGGACTGTATTGTCTTCGACTAGGTCACACAAAGACGCTTGTAAAAGCCTACAAATAATGTATTTTTAAGAATACTTTTCGGTGTGTCCTAGTAATCTGTGCTTTATAAATAGGGCTCAATAATGTAACAAAGGTTTTATTGGTATGCTGTTTTTTTTAAACCTGTAAAACACTTTCGATTTTCTTCAACCAAGTTTTTATGTGTTTATTATTAATGATTGACGAGCTTGAGTTTTTCCATTCCTGTTCATTTAGCCTTAAAATATTCATTGTAATCTTAATGTATTATTAATTAGGAAAAATACGCTAAAATTATATGTTTGAAAGACACTATTTTTTTCTCGATTTTAATATTTATAAAAAATGATTATGTAAGTACTTTGTGTCTTGTATTTGTGTTCTTTTAAAAAAAATTGAATCCAATTTTATTGTATGCTCCTTTTTGTGATAAGACAAAATCGTTTTTTTTTTCACTCGAATCCTAAGCAAGGGGTTGAGTACAATCGGCTGAGATGTTTTTTTTTTAGAATCAATTCACCTGTGGTTACGGAAGCAGGATGTTGATCTCATCTGAATGTTTTTTTTTCTTGTATTATTTGTATTATCTCTGACATATCTTAGCAAGTGTTTTGTGTGTAGTACAAGTACTTATTTCCACATTGTTTGTTTTTTCTGTGCAATCTTTCGACGAATGATCTTAGAAATAATAATTTTATATTATTATGTGACCCTTTTTTTTCCTGATTATTTTACCTTTATAATTTAAAAGATGTTTCGGTTGTACTTGTCACGCTTTTTGATAGATTAAAGATATCGCGTTTAAAGATGTAAAAATATATCCTGGAATCTGATCGCAGCGCCACCTGCAGATTCGAATAATTATAAATCCAAACTATCCAGGGACTCATAGAAACATTCACAAAAAAAAAAAAACACATTAACCCGGCCATAGATAATTAATTTAATTTTGGCGCAATATTATTTGCACTTACAAGAGATATATTAAAAAATAAATAAATTTGTCGCTGCTTTTCTGTGGCTGTGTTTGATATTAATTTTCTCTATTTGAATTGGATTTTTTAAAACTTCATAAGTTTCAATTTTTTGTGTGGAACCCTAATATAATAATTATATTTAAAAACAAAATAAGCCTGAGCTATCTATGTAACATCAGCTTTTATTATGCTGCTACAAACATACATTTTAGTTTTATTTATTTATATAGATATGTGAATATAATATATTCCAGTCCAGAGATTTTCACACGGAAAGTTTCTTCAATAATTAGCAGTATGTTCATCTTAGTTCCTTACTGTGTGTTTAGTGCGAGTTTTTTAACGTTCTCGATAGCGTAAAAGTTAACTCAAATTTGTATGCAGTTGGAACAGCGCCCCTAGCGGCAAACGTAGGCAAACGTTCCAACTCCATACAAATTCGAGTTAACTTTTACGTTATCGAGAACGTTAAAAAGCTCGCACTAAGCAGACTGGTTAATAATTAGAATACTATTGTAGTGCCGGTTGAGCGTGTTCTTCATGTTGGTTCTGTATATTTTTATAGTAACAAATTTAGTCTTATAAAATTAATACCTACTAGTGTGTGTTTCTTGTTCGTAATCAGTGCAATCGCCCGCACTCAATCTTACTAACGAATATCATGTTTTTGTAACAACACAGGGGTTGCGAGTAGTCGTTGGTTTCAAAAAAAAAAAACCACAGATATCAAGTTCAAAGCTATCATTAATTTTAGACAGCCTTAAACTAGAACTCTTAGCGTTTTATGCGCATATTACTTATGCATCTAATGATCAGGTCACTCTATCGAATCGTGCTAGCGAACGTGATGGAATATAGATGCATATCTAATTCAGTGGATTCTTACATAACATTATTTTATTCAATAAATTCGTGGGACGAAACGTGGGGAAAAAAATGAGGGACGATCCATATTGCTTATGCATATATATACATCCTATATACACATATATTTTTTGAGGCTTTAAGTAATTGATATTCAGATATTATTTTGCCTCATAACTGTTTTTCTCATGAATATAAGTGTGTCTCCTAATCAAAGTAGGTATTCAGATTGTGGTGTGGGTTTCGATATCCATATAAAAATTTTGGCGCTAGGTCACATTCAAAAATGAAAAAAAAAACAAAGTTAATTAAATAGTTTTAAAAACAATTCCCTTTGCCACCATCGCTTTGTAAAAAAACAAAAAAAAAACTTTCAATAATTATTATTTATATTAAAGTCTGAACAAACGTCCAGGAATGCTTCACAATAATAATTCATATTCACCTTGAAAAAAGAATATTATTACAACGTCTAATTTCTACGTGTTCCATCATTACAGAACCTGTATTTTGGTAGCCCGCCATTTTGGTCTACTCAATCTATGGCTCATCATTATAATGACAGTGCCGCGTCGAGTTCTCGACGCTAATTCCTCTGCAGCGTACATCGATGGTGTAGAAGCTAGTTGTTTTTCGAGTGTTGAAACAGAAGCGGCATTGCACGCTGTTTGAATTAGATATACAAAAAAAGAGGCGGGATGTGAGTATTTCGTGGTGGACGGCAACGCGCGTGCATGTGCCCAGTCATCCATCACGCAAATGTATAAACCGGATTTGAGGTAAAACAAGTTGAGAGACTAAGATCTTTTTTTTTTCTCTCCAAATTGTATCTGCATTACGTGTGATAAGATGAAGCCGTTCGAAATTTATTAAATGATTTACGATTCGCATCATTCGTTTGCATGCTTTTTTTATTGCTTAGATGGATGGACGAGCTTACAGCCCACCTGGTGTTAAGTGGTTACTGGAACCCATGACATATATGAGGTAAATGCGCCACCCACCTTGAGATATCAGTTCTAAGATCTCAGTATAGTTACAACGGCTGCCCCGCCCTTCAAACCGAAACGCATTACTGCAGAAATAGGCAGGGTGGTGGTACCTACTCGCGCGGACTCACAAGAGGTCCTACCACCAGTAAAAGATGAAAAAAAGTTTTGATGGTGGCTCGGTTTTTTGAAATTGTCGATGTCTTTTTCAAGCGGGGAGAGAAGGGGTCCCCCTTTATCTACGTGTGGCTTCCCAGATTTTGATAGTATATTATCGTTCTGCCATTAGACTCTGGTTTTTGGTCAGCTGGTAAATATTACAAATCTGTTCTCAAGACTTCCGTCATCAAACAACTATCGTTTCTATATTTGCTTGGTACTAAAAATGTAAGATAACGTAATGAAGACAGCATTTGTCCAGAACGTTGGTAAAAGTTAAAGAAATCACAGTGAATTGTGTTTTAGGAACGATATTTTTGTTGTCACGCAATGTAACACAATTATGAATTGACGGGCGCAGGGGGTCAATGCTTTCGAATCACCAGAGGCACGTCTGTAGCTCTTTGTATTGCGTGATCGCCGAAGTCGATATTTTTCGAAATTCCCATTGCGACACACAAGGATGTCTAAATAATAATATTATTAAGTATATCAAGTGAACATGATCTTCGAATCATCTATATACTAATAATACGTGAAGCAAAAACTTTGTACTTTTTTCGAAAATTGGCGCGGACGGAGCAGTATGAAATTTCCCAGACTTATAGAGAATATAGAGAAGGAGTGCAGAAAGCTCATATTTTCTTTAAATTTTGCATAAAAAATACGATAAATCAATAAAAAAAAACATTACACACACTACCGTGTATTTGACATACACACGCATGCATACTATTTGTTTATTGTCAAACTTTTCTTATTGCTTATAGTCTGTGGTCAAATATGAGAATAGATTAAATATTGTTTGTCTTTATTAATATTTGCCTAAAGTTTAGTCTTGGCGAAATCTATGATTCTAGAATTTGACAATAGAATCATAATAATGTTCAAACTTATAATCTCAATTAATTATAGTCGAATTTCGACTACTGCGGGACCTCTAGTTTTAATTAAAATTCTTGTTACCGTTTCTCTGTACATTTTGCGTTGTCCGGATCAGCTCTTGTCTGTATAATGCATGTGTATTTGCGCTCGCTTCTGTTGAAATTTACGTGAAACATAAAATAAGAATTACCATTTAATTAACATTCATGTTTAGCATATTGCAAGATTAGAATATATTGACTTCCTTGGAATTCAGAGAAAGACCGCGAAATAAAATAATTAATACTATAATATTTTTTGATATAATATAATACAGTCCTCGCGACTGATCGAACTGCACTCTTTTTTTTGTGCCTAAGCTGATGGTCTTTTTATGATTGAAAGATTACTGGTGGCCCGGAGGCTTTCCAGTTTCATCAGGACAGGTGAGCGAGCAAAGGCTCAGCCAGGAGGGGTGGGATTTGCTAACAACTGCCCGAACGCCTCCGAAGGAGACCTAACAAGTACCATCATCGGCAAGCAGATGGTGTAGAGGTGGTCAGCGTGACCGGGTTAGTAGGTGAGCTCACAGGTCTCAAACCTGACGATGTTGCTAGCACGAACCCTAGCAAGAGCCGTGCTTCGCAGAATGTACCATGGGATCAGAAACGCGACCCACTGAGAAGATCCGGCGAGAAATTTGCACAGTTTTATTACACGATACGCGGAAGAGCTCACATCTGGTGTTAAGTGGTTACCGGAGCCCATAGACCTTCTCATGTGGCTGCCCGTTACTTAAGTCGTTACGCATGTTTTAGCTACAGAAATAGGCAAGATAATAAAGTATACATCGGACTTTCAGCATGTTCACGTCTAACTTCAAGATGACTTAACAATCAATGTTCACGATTGACTTCCACGGTGAAGGAATAACATCGTGTAATAAAAATCAAACCCGCAAAATTATAATTTGCGTAATTACTGGTGGTAGGACCACTTGTGAGTCCGCACGGGTAAGTACCAACACCCTGCCTATTTCTGCCGTGAAGCAGTAATGCGTTTCGGTTTGAAGGATAGGGCAGCCGTTGTAACTAAACTGTGACCTTAGAACTTATATCTCAAGGTGGGTGGCGCAATTACGTTGTAGATGTCTATGGGCTCCAGTAACCACTTAACACCAGGTGGGCTGTGAGCTCGTCCACCCATCTAAGCAATAAGAAAAGAGCTCGTCCACCCATCTAAGCAATAAAAAAAAGCTCTGTTGATCATATTCGGTGACCTTGAAAATAAACAGCCTAAAACATAACAAATACGAAGTGGCCCAAATGAAACAGCAAAACAATAGAGCGATTAGAAATGAAGCGATTGAACAGAAAGCAAACAATAGCGAAACGTACAGACACTACTGGTCATAAAAACGCAGCGATAAAACTACCAAAAGCACGCCGAAACTTTTTG